TATAGAAGAGGAAGGAAAAGACTGAATTAGCATAGGACTAAGTTCAGACGAAGCCGAAGAAGAAATAGAGTTACGATCACCAAGATTGTCGGGACTTTTTTGCTTCTTGGTGTCACCAGCCTCATCTGATGAATACACTGGTACTTCTTTAGAAGTGTTCGATCTTTTCCTTAGACAATTATGAGAATGAGGAGTTGAAGGATGGTAGTCTTGGGAAGAAATGTCACGGCGAGCCAATTCAGCTAATCGAGGCATTTCACGATGAACTAGACGCAGAAGGCGAGAAAGATACTGAGGAAAGACTTCGCAATCATTATGCCCGCCACCAATTAGGAAAAGAGGTTCTAATACAAGAGATTCTGGAAGAGCTGCATATAGAGTTTGGCCATGATTCACTCCAATCACTTCGTCGCAGACACCGTGAATTATCAGAGTCGGTGAAAGTATGCGTGGCGTACGTAGTAAGCTAAAAGAGTATACGCAGTGACGATATAAGATGGTATAATTGTGGAACTCAATTTAGATTATCAAAGCTTCGAGAAAAGAGGAAACGAATCTACCCATTATTTGTATATTCGACCAAAATAGTTAACGTTAAATATTAAATACTTATTGCTACGCTAATTGGGATAGCACCTAGGAAGTAAACAAATCGTAAACAGAGCAAGAGTAGGCTTACTTTGGAAAAACATCACAACAGTAGTTTCTTTTGACTTTGGGGAAAGCGACCCGCAGGCCAGACATGAGGGGCGAATGAAGAACAACAGCAGCCACTCTGAATCTCGTAGCAAGATAGACTGTAGGCACAGTCCCTATACTCTGCCCATACAATACAATCTGTTCCAAAGGAATAGAAAATCGTCTTTGAAGTTGCTCTAGTGCGCATTCAGCATCTGCGTATAAATGCTTTTCCAAAGGTTTTCCTGTAGAAGCTCCATATCCGGAGTAGTCATAAGACATAATATTGACCCCCAACTTGAAACTAAGGTCATGCATAAAATTCAACATTAATCCAATGTCAACGGCATTGCCATGGCTAAGCAAAAAGGTGAGCTTCGTAGAGGGATTTGTTTTCATATATATCATTACAATGCTGTTACCCTTCCTGGTAGATGAGGTAAATACATCGATTTTGTCAAGTACATATGAGGGCAAAAAATCATGAGGATATAAATAACGAGAAAGCACTAATTGATATTGAGAACCCTCTTTTGTCAATGAATAACTTGGCTCTGGGGGAAGAAATGCAAGTTTAGCTGCTATTCGTGATGGGAGAGGAGGGCAACAGAGAAGGTGGCAAATACTGACGCAGTTTAGCCCATTCATGACCAGAAAAATGACAAAAACCTAAA